ATGGAAAGACCCTCCCGCCTGCAGAAGTCCGTGGCAGACAGGGGCATAATCTCCCAGCATGCCTCTTTCTGTACCTCAGATGGGTGCTGGCGGTCACGGCCGTATTGGTCTGTGGTAGAGGCTCGATTCAAGTCTCCCGTAGCACCTTCGAGACCAACGAGATTTGGGCTGTGGGGGTGAGCTCTCGAGAGTCTGAGGTCCCTGCCGTCGGACGGAAGGAGTTTTAACTCTCGCCAGCCTGTACCTCGAAAACCTTGTTGGTCTGTAAGCAAGGCTCCCTCCTCTAAGCTGTGGCGTCTCGTGAGCCAAAATTCCACTTTGTGAGCTGCTGGCATTGAAGTCGTGAGCGAGCGATTGGGCCGCTGCGTAAATGAGTCTGCTCTGGAGCCCTCCTTCCTGGGCCGAGGCAAAAACGTCTGAGCCGGAGGCTAAAAAACTGCCAGCCAGCTCACACCGACTCAGCTTAGAGGGAACACTGTCAGGCGCTCAGGGCTCTTTTTGTAGCAGGAACTCCTTTGCATATTAGGTGACACGCCCCTAATGTGGCCAATCCTCCAAGAGCTTACAGAGCTCTCCTTACAGGGGCTACTGTGAGCTCTCGGAGGATTGGCTACATTAGGGGCGTGTCGCCTAATATGCAAAGGAGTTCCTGCTACAAAAAGGGGCCTGCCTGAGGCGCTACTGGGGACTCGCGCCCAGAGCCGTCCGGTGACGTTTGTCCGTGGCTCTCTTCCAGGCGGAAAAAATAAAGAAGAAGAGGAACACCCTGTTTGGAACATTCCATGTGGCGCACAGCTCCTCCCTGGATGATGTGGATCACAAGATCTTGACCGCCAAGTGAGTGTGCTTCAGCGGCTCCTTCGGCGGCCATCTCGGTGCCCTGGACTGGGGCAAAGCAAGTCGGCACCCCAAGGCAGCCCGTTATCCTTCAACGCGATTTTGAGGGAGGTGGGGGGGCTTTCCCAGGAGCTGAGGCTGCCGCAGGGGTTCCCCCGTCCCTCTTGGGGGATCCGAGAGTCTCTCTGGAGGAGCCCCGCAGACTGGTGCTCCCGGCCAGGTGCATTCTGGGATGCCACAGGAAGTCGTCTGGCCCGCTGACCCCGGCTCCTCTCCGCTGCCCTCCCTTCCCCCAGTCTGGTGTCGTGGTTAAGTGTGCAGACTATCTGGGAGAACCGGGTTTGATTCCCTGCTCCTCCATTCGCAGCTGCTCGTGTGACTTTGGGCCTGTCACAAGCTCTCTCAGAGCTGTTCTCTCAAGGGCAGTCCTCGAGAGATATCTCTCAGCCCCCACTGACCTCACAGGGTGTCTGTTGTGGGGAGGGAAAGGGAAAGGAGTTTGTCAGCTGCTCTGAGACTCCTCCGGGTAGCGAAGGGCAGGGTAGAAATCCAATCTCTTCTTCTTAACTTATTGTAATTTTATTGAGAGCCAGTTTGGTATAGTGGTTAAGTGCACGGACTCTAATCTGGGAGAACCGGGTCTGAGTCCCCACTCCTCCACATGCAGCTGCTGGTGTGACCTTGGGCCAGTCACAAGCTCTCTCAGAGCTGTTCTCTCAAGGGCAGTCCTTGAGAGAGCTCTCTCAGCCCCCACCGACCTCCCAGGGTGTCTGTTGCGGGGAGGGGAAGGGAAAGGAGTTTGTAAGCCGCTCTGAGACTCCTTTGGGTAGTGAAGGGCGGGGTATAGACCCAATCTCTTCTTCTCCCTCTGCAGGCAGGCGCTGAGTGAGGTGACGGCGGCCCTGCGGGAGCGGCTCCACCGCTGGCAGCAGATCGAGCTGCTGTGTGGCTTCCAGATCGTCAACAACCCGGGGATCCACACGCTGGTGGCCGCCCTCAACATTGACCCCACCTGGATGGGCGTTCCCCCCCGGCACAACCCCTCCCACTTCATCATGACCGACGACGTGGACGACCTGGACGAAGAGATCGTCTCCCCGGTCTCCGCGCAGTGTAGGTGTCTCCCGGCGCTTGGGGCGGCCAGTGTCTCCGGGGGCGCCGGAAGCGGGAGGAGGGGCCCCAGAGTCGGGGAGGGCCTTCTGGTCAGGCCCCCCACCTTCCCTGCCCTCCCAGGGCCTCCCCGAAGCAAGAGAGCAGCATGGCCGAGCCCCTTTGAGCATCTGGAACGTCTCTTTGCCTCGAGCAGAGATGCCCAGTTTGGTGTAGTGGCTAGGAGCGCGGACTCTAATCTGGGAGAACCGGGTTTGATTCCCCGCTCCTCCACATGCACCTGCTGGTGTGACCTTGGGTCATTCACAAGTTCTCTCAGAGCTGTTCTCCCAAGGGCGGTCCTCGAGAGAGCTCTCTCAGCCTCACCTACTTCACAGGGTGTCTGTTGTGGGGAGGGGAGGGGGAGGGAAAGGAGATCGTAAGCCGCTCTGAGACTCCTTTGGGTAGTGAAGGGCGGGGTATAAATCCAGTCTTCTCCTCCACCTCCTCCTCCTGAGCTGCCGCTTCCTGTCTCGGGAGCAGGGACTCGAGCAGGACAGAAAGCGAGCCGATCCTGGGAATGTTGTCCCTCTGCACATGTGCAGAGAGCTTTCCTGAGCCAGACCCCTCCCGTCTGGGAGGAAGGGCGCAGGGCCTCGAGAGGTAGCCTCGAGCACCCTTTGAGTCTCCCTTTACACCAGCGGGCAGCCCAGACATGGCACGGCCGGGGATGGGAATGACTTGCTGGGTTTCTCTGCTCTGCTGCCGGGGAAGGCAGCTTCCTGGTGCAGTGAGGGGAGAGGGATGGGCCGCTGTCCACGGTGGTGCCTGTGCTGGGGAGAGCGGGGGGGTGCAGCCAGGGCCTCCTCTCCCACCTCGAGGCAGCAAGGGCCGAGTGGGCAAACGGGGCCAGACGGGCGTCCCGCAAGGAGGGCGTTGGGCCGCCCCGGGGCTCCTGGCCAGGCAGGACGGGGGTGGCTCCCGCAGAACGGCGGGCGTTTCTGATTGCCAGTGACCCCTTTCTCTCTCCCTCCTCCTCCTCCGACCGGCCCACGCCAGACGCGGCCTTGCTCTTGGGGCGCCGGTTCAGCGACCGCCCGTCTCTCGGCTCAGAGGACCAGTCCTTCTGGAGATACCCGGGTTTGAGGCTTCTTTCCTTTGGCATCACCCTCGTCACCCGCCCGGACTAAACGCTATGCTGGCGGGCCGAGCGAGCACCCGGCTTTCCTCTCTCTCCGAGCACAGATGCTAATCCACACGCGCGCACACACCCCTTCGCCCCCAGCCCTTTTCTCCTGCTCCTTTTTGACCTCTTTTCTGGCATCCGGGCGGCTGGCGGGGGGGGGGGGGGTCATCTTAGCAGGGCTCACTGGCCACGCTCCCTCTAAAACGTGGAGTCTTGTGAGCAAAAATCCTACTTTGTGAGCTGCTGGCCTTAAAGTTGCGAGCGAGCGATTTGGCTACTGCATAAATGAGTTTGCTCTGGACTCCCAAAGGTACGTAGGTCCCTGACCGTTCAGGGCTTTAAAGGCGAGCACCAACAAACCTTGACTCTGATCCGGTGCTCCACTGGCAACCAGTGCAGCTCACGCAGCACTGGGTGGATACGTGCCCTCCGTGGGGTCCCCATAAGGACCCGCGCAGCCTCCATTTGTACCAGTTGGAGCTTCCGGGTCAGTCTCAAGGGTAGCCCTATGTAAAGCGAGCTACAGTAGTCCAGCCTCGAGGTGACCGTTGCATGGATTACTGTGGCGGCGTCGGGGCAAGGAAGACGTTTGGGAGGCACCTTTTGCTCCCTTCCTCTGAAGACAGGGCCATGAGTGAAGGCTGGAAGCCGCAGGGGAGGTTGTGCGGTCCCCTCCCTGGCTGGGGTTCGCATCCAGCTTTAGCTGCCAGGGGGTTATGGAGGTCCATCCATCGTCGTCGTCCCCGCCCCGCCGCCGCCACTGAGCCCCTCACCAGCTTCCGTTCCAGTAGCCTCTGCTCCCCACCGCCCGGCCCGGCCCGGGCCCCCGACTCCTCACCTCCGCCTCCCTCTCTCGTTCCAGCACCCGTCCTGTCGAGCAACGTCCGCCATCGCTTCGTGGACCCCCAGCACACCATGGGATCTCAGAGGTTGGTAGAGAGTCAGCAGCTCCCCGGCCCGGCCGAATCGGGGCCGCTGGCCCACTACCTGCCGGGCCGGGTCACCCTGCGTCGAATGCCCAGCCTGAGCGGCGGGCAGGGCTTCAGCTCGGAGGTCCCAGGCGCCAGCCCGCCCTTCAACGTCGCCGCCGCCGCCTCGTGCTCCTCCACGGCCGCCCACCCGTCCTCCGGCTGCCACCCCCTCCCCATCTACTACCACCACACGACCTCCTCTTACATCCTCCAGATGGACGCTCTGCCCCCTCCCGACGTCACCTCTGGGACGCGCTGCCGCAAGGACAGCTTGGGGTACCGTGGCATGGTGTTTGGCGCGCGGCCTGCCTCTCGGAGACCCGCTAACCAGCCGTGCCGTGCCGTGTGTCCCTAACCCAAATCCCCCTTGTTTTATCTTCCCCTTCCGGCAGAGGAGCCGGTGCTGCTAACCATGCACTCTTCGTTAACTCTGTAAGGACGCTTCTGCCTGGGCTTGGCTCCTCTCGCAGATCTCCAGTTTGGTGTGGCGGTTAGGAATGCGGGCTCTGACCCAGGAGAGCCAGGTCTGAGTCCCCACTCCTCCTCCACACGCAGCGGCTGGTGTGACCTTGGGCCAGCCACAAGTTATCTCGGAGCTGTTCTCTCACGAGCAGTCCTCGAGAGAGAACTCTCTCAGTCCTACCTAGTATGGCGTAGTGCAGTGATGGCGAACCTTTTAGAGACCGAGTGCCCAAACTGCGACCCAAAACCCACTTATTGATTGCAAAGTGCCAACACGGCAATTTAACCTGAATCCTGAGGTTTTACTTTAGAAAAAACGACTCATACATTAACTTAAGATGATCTAAACAAAGTAAGGAAAGCAATCCCAAATGCTTTCATTTACTTAAAATTATTTGGCAGAGAATTTGACACTTTAATGATGGTCTGGGCCTGTCTGAGGCGATGGCACGCGTGCCCACAGAGAGGGCTCTTGAGTGCCACCTCTGGCACCCGTGCCATAGGTTTGCCACCACTGGTGTAGTGGTTAAGTGCGTGGACTCTAATCTGGGAGAACCGGGTTTGATTCCCCCACTCCTCCACTTGTACCTGCTGGATGACCTTGGGCAAGCCATAGTTCTGTCAGAGCTGTTCTTTGAAGAAGAGCTGTTTCTGTCAAGAGCTCTCTCAGCCCCACCTACCTCACAGGGTGTCTGTTGTGGAAGGGGGAGGAGTTCCTAAGCCGCTCTGAGACTC